ATTCGATTGTCTACAGATATGCAAAATTTTGGCGCGGCTACGCCGCGCCGTTCGGAAACCATTCTGGAAAACCTTCGGGGGAGAGGGCAATTTGATCCCCCACCCGAGCGCGTGTTGAATTTGGAAATGTTTGCAGACCACAAGGCACGCTTTGAGTCTCTGGGCTTACCAGGCCTCGGGATGTTGCTAACACCCTAATGCGTAGCTCCCGAGGAAAGAGACGCATTATTGTTCTTAAAATCCTCTCTTGGCTCTCAGAACACGGCTTTATATGTCATGAGCACTCTACGGGCCATCAGGGGAGGAGAGCTGTATGTGTTTTGGGACATCCCAACTCCAAAGGACGTTTTCATCACCTTCATAATGCATTTCAGACCCCAGGGGAATCTTTTGAGTCCTCGTAGGTGCTCGTCTGCGATTCAAAGCACCCCTGTATTTTTTAGAGTACTTTTCCAGGCTTCAGTACATAGCCCTTAGGCCCTTAGGGTGCCTTACATATCCCATATATATATATATATATATATATATATATATATATATATATATATATACACATATATCATACCTCGGCCCTTACGGTGCCATGCTAGCACCCAGGCAGGTCGCATCGATATGTATGACGGCCCTCAACTTGAAGCATCTTAGATCTGATCCCCGACTATCTTGTAAACGTCACCGGCCTCCTTAAGTTCCTTTTGACCCATATATTTCTCTCACTTTTCTCCATAGATGGCCCCGAAAGAAATATAAAAATCAGGCTTGATGCGTTCTCACAGGGCTCCAGGCCCTCTGTAAGAAAATCCTGACTGTTCCTCTAGTCCGAACAACAGTTCAACTCTGTCATACCAATGCCTCGTCTCAATCGCTGAAACTATTTGGAATGTCCTGCTTTCATCTTTTATATTCTGTAATAGACGACTTATTAATGGATCTGTCAAAAGTGCAAATTGTGCATAGGCGCTGATTCCAGACGCAAATTCTCGGCAAGGTCCTGGTTATTGCTGACTCTCTTAGCATCACACCCTGAATCTTAGTTGTTATCGAATCCTTAACATAATTCGAGGCTGCATCATGTTTCTTTGTTGTTATTGATTTCCTCAACATCCCGGGCTACACATTTTGGCGGGATGAATAGGCACAATTGCACGCCGAGTGAATTGGCTGTTGCTGGGTCCTCGTGCGCATTCCAGCCCGAATCTTGGTTTTCTCTGAATTTCTCGCTTGGGTGCCCAACTAAATCCTGGTTCTTCCCGTTTTTCTGGCATCGTTCCGTGAAAGATGTTGGTTCTCCCTGGATTCCGCATTTCCAGCGTTATACAAAACTAGTTCTGGGTTCTTCCGGGTTCCAGAACGGTAATTAGAAAGTTGTTCCCGGAAATGTACCGTAGGAACCAGACAAACGGCTGTTGAAATCATCATGGCGCGTGCAGCTGGCTCTCCTGAGCATATGTACAGTTACCAAAACTATGCTTGCAAACAACTGCTGTGAGTTTACGTACTCCTAAGATGACGTGCCACTGGCCGGCCGACACCGGCGGCGCCGCGTCGTTCGTCGGTCGCTGGATGGCAGCGGCGCTCGGCTGACTCCAGGGGCCAGCAGCGCAGGGGCCCGGCCGCGACCGGACACGTGGCGCCCGCCGGCGCGGCGCCCCGGCAGCGGTAAATCCGTCCGAGCCAGTCGTCAGATCGACCCGATGCCAACCGCCGCAGCCGTCCCGGCCCTGACGTCGAATGGCCTCGGCACGACAGAGCTGGCTCGCTCTCTGCCGTGTCTCTGGCGTCAGCTGACAGAGCTGGCTCGCTCTCTGCCGTGTCTCTGGCGTCAGCTGACGGGTTGGCTCGCTCTCTGCCGTGTCTCTGGCGTCAGCTGACGGGTTGGCTCGCTCTCTGCCATGTCTCTGCGTCAGCTGACAGCGTTGACTCTCTGCCGTGTCTCCGGCGTCAGCGGACGGGTTGGCTCGTTCTCTGCTGTGTCTCTGGCGTCAGCTGACTGGTTGGATCGCTCTCCGCCATGTCTCCGCGTCAGCTGACAGAGTTGACTCTCTGCCGTATCTCTTGCGTCAACTGACGGAGTTGGACCGCGTTCTGCCGTGTCTCCCGCGTCAGCTGGCAGCGTCGGTTTGCTCTGTCGTGTCTCTCGCGTCAGCTGGCGGCGTCGGCTCGCTCTCTGTCGTGTCTCTCGCGTCAGCTGACAGCGTTAGTTCGCTCTCTGCCGTGTCTCTCGCGTCAGCTGACAGCGTTGGTTCGCTCTCTGCTGCGCCTCTCGCGTCAGCTGGCGGCGTCGGCTCGCTCTCTGCCGTGTCTCTCGCGTCAGCTGACAGCGTTGGTTCGCTCTCTGCCGTGTCTCTCGCGTCAGCTGGCGGCGTCGGCTCGCTCTCTGCCGTATCTCCCGCGTCAGTTGGCAGAGTTGGTTGGCTCTCTGCCGTGTCTCCCGCGTCAGCTGGCAGCGTTGGTTCGCTCTCTGCTGTGTCTCTCGCGTCAGCTGGCGGCATCGGCTCGCTCTCTGCCATGTCTGCCGCGTCAGTTGGCAGCGTTGGTTGGCTCTCTGTCGTGTCTCTCGCGTCAGCTGGCGGCGTCGGCTCGCTCTCTGCCGTGTCTGCCGTGACCGTCTCTGCCACTGTCTCCAGCTGCTCCGGCAGCGGCGTGACGTGGTTCAAATCAATGTGGTTCCGTGAACGCGCGGTAACAGCCGTCGCGTCCGGACGAGATCTGCCGCCTGCCAGTATGGACATCCAGCCACGCGGGCCGGGCGCTCCCTGGGGCAGCAGGCCGAGGCGTCGTGCCGCGCGGGGCTCAACCGTTATTGGCCCTTGGCGGCGCTGCTTCCTCGCGGTGCGTTAGGTCGCAAGTCTGGCATACACGCCGTCGCTTCCGTGTTAAGACCAATATTACACATTGCGATAATGCTGCCCCCTCCGCTAGGCTTATCCAGCCGCAGTTCGTTTACAACTCAGTGGGGCGGTCATGAGTTTCCTGCCGTATAATGGCCGCGATGGCGTGTGCATTAATGAGCGGAATTATTTTTTTTGATGAGCTCAAACGCGTTATGCCTGGCATTACTGGCGGCGTAATGCAAGCATACATTTGTTCCAAACTACTTAAGCTTACTACAAACGACACAAACTGAGAACAGACTTCTAGAATCTGGGCAGAATAAAGACGACAAGGGTGCTCCACGTAAGAAAGACCCGCAGCTCCTGTTCCTCGGCATTGGGTATTGAAACTTTTCATGTTAACAGCCTTCGGCATACCAGGAGGCACTGGTTAAGCGACGTTGCTGTGCTAAATAAGGATTCCATTGACGGTAATCAATATTTCAAGCTTTGCTAATCCTCAGTCGTGACAAGGATCAAAAAGGTTCAGCACAACACTACACAAAAAATCACGCATGCTACCGCAGAAAATGCCCCCAATGTACGTAGGCGCATTGGGGTAACTAAGAAATGTAAAAAATCATCCAAACATGCAATCATCGATCAAAGCTCTTGACAGCTTTTCCCTCTTTTCTTGCAAACTAGTTGTGTGAGCGTAGTCCAAGTAAAACATTTCTCCTCCGTAAGAATGTATAACCATAACCCAGGGTGAGGTCCGTCGCTTGTGTCTTGCTCTCCATTGAACACTGTGGGTTTGTGAAGAAGTCGTAAAAAGGCCAAGCAAACAAATCGTGTCGATGCGAAACGTCCTTTTATAGACGACAAGTTGTGTAAACAAGCCAATACCGTAGCATTCGTGACCGGTTTAATGAACACCTTGGGGACGCACGTTTACGGGGAACGCACAAACCGCTAGAACACGTGGTAGATGTATCCGCAGCAATGAAACAAGGCGCAACAACTACCAACTCTAAACGTTGAATTCTAGTGACAGCTAGACAATGCGAACCCCCAAAACTTAGAATCACTGCGCTTTCCGAGTCTTCGCCCTAGGCTAAACATATAGACTTCATCATGGGACAACTTTTTTTGGGTTGTGCCTTTTTCTAAGGTTTCATGTTCATGGCGGCTGATACGCGGTAAACCATGTTCTTATCCGGTACTGTGTAGAACATTGTAAATTTTCGGCTTGGTAAACTTTTCGTAAACTTCAGTCACCCGTGCCGTTACTTTTCATTTACATCCCTTAACGCCGAACCATATGCGGGTTTTTAAAAGCTTGGATTATCTACCTTTCGCAGACTGAAAGGATTTTCTGGATTCCCGAGTCTTGCCTTTTTAGTGTAAAAGTTTGGTGAACCTTTCCGAGCCATCATCACTCTCGAGCACAGCTCGGAATGATGTGCACCGTCAACATTATCGCCATTTAGTATTACAGCGTCGTTCAACCAGTACCTGCTGGTGTATTGAGCGTCGTCGACTCAACATATAAATTTTCAACTCACAATACGGGAAAGATAATTACGTTTTTCCAAAGACTCGCTCCAGTGCAGCAATTACGCTGCAAACACTTTTTTACACCCATTTAGCTTACATCTTCTCACTTATTCAAACCTGTCGCCTACCTGGTGCAGACTGGCATAAATGCCGTTTTTAAGAGATATTGATTAAGCCCGAGAAACATTTTCCTTTCGTCGGTAATTTGCATACCTGTTTGACCATCAATGCAAGGGGTAGACGAACATATGGTGGATGAGGATAAACCGAGCTCAAACCCATCTAGATGAATAAGGTGATGAACCAAGAAATCAATGCCGACTGAGAGCATGTCAAGACCGCAGCTGATCGCGTGGTCCGGCTCACACGATTAGTGAAACAAAGAGAGACCGTGACTTTCTGTTGGTCTTGTTCACTGTCATGCGGTTCCTTGACAGTCCAACATTGGTCGAATATGCAGATTACATACGAGAAACACGACAGGCCGCGCTTGAAACTAGACCAAATTATAATCAACAAAACTGGAGCTGCCGGGCTTACACCACCGCGTATTTCATGGGCTGCAGCCCACCACCAGGCGACAAGAGCTTTGCAGCCCCACGGACCACCGATTCAACCCGTGTGAATAATTCAGACGCAGACCACAGAAGCTGCGACGGGGCGACAACTGACTCGCGCGTCCACTGAGTCACCACCGAACAACTAAGCGCGGGTCTGCCTCTCAGCTGTCTAACGGAGGCGGCACCACATGCAGCCGGGTCGACGTGCGACCTCGCGTGACACCGCAGTATTTCGTGACGTGCCATATGTGGTCGGGAACGACACATCGAATGAATGTCACGTGCGGTGACGGCAGCTTGCAGCTTTGACACCTCAGAAAGGTCGGGCTCTATTATGGCACGATGCCACAGCTTCCAGTGTGCACGCACCGGGTGTAAGGCACTCGCCAATCTAACCTTCCCTCGGAGATGCATAGGTGATGGCTCATGCGATTTCTTCTCCCTTCATCGGCTGGCAAACGAATGCGTTGGGTAGGGGTGACTGCAGAACGGAAGACCGGGGGTGAGACCGGCCAGCACGTGCGCCACCGAGTTCGAGAAGTGGAAAGCAGCTCTCCCCAGGGCTCCACCTGGGACGCGTATGTGCAGTGTGTATGCAATAAAGCCGTGGACACGGTACATTTCAGGATACCACAGGTCAAAGAGATAGGCAGAAGTCTAGACTTGGCATGTTACGCTTTACGACAGTGCTCGCAGCTCACGGACCCCACCATGCGTCAGTTCATGTTACGCTTTACGACAGTGCTTGCAGCTCACAGACCCCACCATGCGTCAGTTCATGTTTTTCAATACATTAGTTGTTCTATCCACGCATTATGCGCCAATTACTCCACACCACACCGTAACAAGCGGCGTGGAATACACGGCCGGACGGGCCCACAAGCACACAGAAGCACAACCGTCATCGCCCGGCGCTCCAGACTCGAGCAGCCCTCGCACTGACGCCCGCACGCCGCCCGCTCTAGGCCTGCCGGCGTCCCTCCGCCGCGGGACATTTGTCCCGGCAGACGCGGCGCTGTCCTCCCGCGCGCGCCACGGACAAGGCGGCGTCCACACCTCCCCAGGCACGAATGACCGCGACGCTGGTCACAATTCCTTTACAAATCGACAGCGGGTGCGCCGTGCCGCAGCACCATCCAGCGCCCAGTCCGTCTCCTACACGAGCCACGCAGCCCATGGTCTAAGACAGCGCCCTCTAAGCCCTCTCGACACAACCTGCGCGCCCGCCGGTCTAGGACCGCCCTCTCGACTCGGTCTCGGCAGCCGACGATTCAGCGGTATGTTGGCACGACTCGCGTGCCTGCACGCCCAGGACCACCCTCGCGATGCGAGCCTCACGCAGCCGCAGGTCCAGGACCATGCTCTCGACACGAGGCACGGCTCCAGACCGAAGATCCCGCCTCCGGTCCAAGACCGTGCTCTGGACAGGAGCGACGCGGCCGGCGGTGCAGGACAGCCCTCTCAACGCGGTTCCGGCCGCTCCCCAGACAGACAACACAGCCTTCGGCCCAGGACCGTCCATCCGGCCGGCCCCGCACCGTCCTCTAACGACGCGGCCAGGTACACTCCTGCGGCCAGGAGTGGCGCGGCCACCGGTGCCGCGGTGCTGCACTGCCAGCCGTCCATCGCTGCGAGCCGTCGCCAGACTCGCTCCCAGCCGTCGGCGCCCGAGTCCGGACGCGGTCCGCCGTTCGTCGCTCACTTGCGCCGGCCGCCCTGCCGCTTACTGGCGGCCGACGACGCCGCCGGGAAGCGCGGCGCCTTCATCTCCACTGTGGGCGTGTTGAGGCTGCTGTTGGCCGGCGCCGTTGCGGTGACAGTGGCCGAGCCGGCGGTCTGGGCGGGGGGAGGGACGGGGCCGGCCGCCGCGGCCGCGCCCAAGGCGGGGGTGCTGGAGCTGGTGGCGGTGGCGGTGGCGGTGGCGGTGGCGGTGGCGGTGGCGGTGGCGGTGGCCGGCGCCAGCACCGGCGCCAGCTCCTCGTCTTCCTCCAGGCCGCACAAATCCGGGAACAGCTGGTCGTCCGTCTCGTTGTTGAACAAGTCCAGCAGGGACGGGTTGTAGGAGACCATTTGCTGGTCCGCCTCGGCGCCCCCACTGCCGCCGCTAGCGCCGCTGCCACCGGCGCTCAGGGCCTGGTCCTGATCCATCAGAATCTGCCGGCACCAACGAGCTTGTCAGACGGCATCGAGACCACGCGGATCCGCTGTTACGCATCTGGCCACACCTTGATCCAGCCATGGAAATGAACGGAGCCAGGCATGGAAACAGACAGGCCACCGCCGTCGCACAGCAATGGCAAGAGCACGTCCTTTTAGGCTGCGGTTCGGCACAGATCGTTACGATTTGGCGAGCAACAGCGATCGGACAGAGCACGAGGTCAAGGCAAGTCACCTACGAACTGGCGCCAAACGATCCTGAAACTACCATAAACTTCAAACGGGCTGCAGGTGTTCGGATAACTTCGGACTAACCAGCGGCACTCGCAACTCTCCAAAACCTCAAGACACAGCCCCGCATCCGTACAGCTGACGACAGCTCATAATGACCGTCCAGACTGTTCCGTCCCATTACCAATGTATAGTATGTTCTAGCAGGACAAAGGATCTTTCAAATAACCTGATTTATGAACGCCACTTGCCGAAAGAGATCCAGTGGCGGTTGACACCGTTTTATAACGGTCTCTGGGAGAACAATCGAGACAACTATAGATGCACCAGTTTCTTAACGGGCACGACGGACGTTGCCACGCGCGCTTTTATATAGCGCCAGCGACTGGGGTGATCATGTAAGACGTCCGGGGCCACGACGCAACAGAGATTCGAACTTGGGCCCAAGGCGCGAGCATTGGATCAAATAATCTGAACAATGCTGAACAACGCTGAGCAATGCTAGAGCTGAACTTTTTCGGTATTTAATACGCATACAAATGCTTGGGTGATAACGTAAATTTACCGAATGACCTCCAAAAAGGGGCCACACTGATCATATATGTAAAAGAAGACTTTAGACATGGACGTATTATTTCATGCAGTGAAGAAAAATATACAGCGTATGTGCTAAATTGCAAAAGCAATAAAGTGCAAGTGCAATAAAGTGCAAGTGCAATTAAGTGCAAGCGCCGATTTTTTCTTTGCCCTTCCAGCCCACACGAAGAGACGTGCCAAAAAGTTGCTTTGCCCATTATTTATTGAGAATCCATGCTGAACAAGAACGCGAGCAGCCTGAACCACAGCATTCAACCTCGTTTCCACCGCCTCATACTGCTCCTTCTGGCGTCTAGTGCCACCTCATCCCATGCAGCCAGAATGGCCTCCTTCAGCTTGCCCACGGTGGGAAACTTCTAGGAGCAATTTCATCAGCACGTTCGGACCGGGCCATCAGTCAGTTTTTCGACCGAGCTGTATGGTGTCTACTCTCTGGTCTTATGGCACGAGACCCAGTTCCGTCAAGCTTCAAGACAGACCGGCTAATGGACTGTTCGTTAAAACGGTTAAAAGAGTGACATATCGCCTCTGTAAACAGTTAAGCACAATCTTGCGCTGCTTAGCACACACTTATTATGACTGACTAGGTTATAAAACGGAAACAGCGGCGCAAGTGATAAATCACGGTCCTCCTTGTCTCACGTGCTGCTGTTATTCGGCAACCCTTCGATCAGCACCATGGATTTAAGTGGCACAGGCGCAGGGAAATGAAGCGTCTCGCATCACGTCATGACATCTCCCTACTTCTCCGGCACATGGAAGGTGTGCATGACGTTTTCGTAAATATCGAAAAATACCCAGGGAAAATATCGTCGCTACAGCTTTTTTTACTCCAGATTTCAACCACGGGCGTAGTTTCCCATTCAGATGGGGAAGAGGCACCCCAGCCCCCCCCCCCTCCTCCAACTTTGAAAGGGAATTCGGTTAAATCCGGGGAGCATCCCGCCTTTTTAGTAGATTTAGGGTGTCGCTTTAGCCATTTTTCTTTTCAACCACAACAACTTAAAGGCACTGCTCCATATTCCATTTCATTTTTCCATGTTCCATTTATGGGGTTTTGAACTGAGGTGGCCATTTTCAGTCATTTATTATTTTTATATTTTCACTGTCATCTTTTCCCCTCAACTCACAGTTATGCCCTTTTCAGTACTTCACATCCTTTTGTTTCCGAGCCAGACGCACTCAAACTAATGCCGACCATTTCGTGTCGCCTAATTCGAAATTACCTAGGTCTGCATGGTGTTAAAGAAAAATCACACGCTTCCACACCACCTCAATGACTGTATTGTGCTCAAGGTCAGGATAATATGGCCATGGCAATGTTCGTGCCTGGAGAACGTCAGCACGAATCGTACCGGTAGCCGGTAGTTGGCTAACGATCAGCTAAAGCCGCTGTTTGAATGCCTCGATCACGTAACGTGTTCTGTGACACAACACGGGCATTTTGGCAGTTGTGCTGGTCATGACGGACATGTCATGTCCGTGTGTGTCACATCCGAATCGAAAGTGTGCCGCAACCGAGAAAGTAAATGCGAGTAAAAAACATGCCATCGCAGACAAATATACCAGAATACCACAAGAAAGGGCCAAGCACACCCACATACCGCTACGAAGAAAAATTGCACGCATAGACACCAACGCCACCGTGGGATGTAGATCCACAAGTAAGTCCACCGTCGGCAGCACGTGCGCGGGACGACGGCCGTTCGCGGGACTCGATCTCCCCGACAATGCAGAGCCACCTTGACAGCCACCAATCCCCCACTCTCATGGGATGCCATGGCTACGTCACAACTATTGATCAGACTTCCAGCGGAGGCCATCGGCAGTAGTCTGGCTCAGCAAGTGCGAACACTATGGCAATTGCCCTCAAACCTCTTTCTGGGACCACAACCTCAATCGTCACGGAGCGCATTTCGACGCGTCACGGTGCCTTAGAATCAAAGGGCAGCCGTGCTCCCTGCTATCCACAGGAAGGAGCAATGCCACAGGACCGGGAGCCGGCAGCGGCTTCAGACATCTCATCCGGTGGAACATTCGCCCTACAATTGTTTTAACAGTAATTTTGCAGCTTTTGAGGCCAGCATTACCAGGCACCACTGCAGGGCAAGCGGGTAAACTATCCATTAATAAGGGGAGGGAGCTGGTGGAGTCATGAGGCTCTTAGGCTAACGGGGGCAAAAACGTAACTGAGGGGAAACAACGCATGTAACTGTCACACAGCACCGTGTCTTATACTCCTTTGTATTTCGGAAAGCGCCGAATTCTATTCTCAACTTTTAAATTTAGGCCGAGACCAAATACAAACACTCCCTTCCTGCATCCCCCGCGGCAACGCCTGGGAAGGGGGTGATTGAAGAGGATCATGAGAACCACAATGGCCTGCCTCAGGGTACATCGGGGTCATACCACCGCCCTTATGGCGGAGGGAAGGGGGGGGGGGCACAGTATCTGAAGGTGTTAAATGGGTCGTTCAGATATCAGATAAAAAATATCAAGCATGACTAGTGCACATTGTCTCTGTGACAATGGCAAAGGGTCATGCTTTTTGCGACGTATCTGCCTCTGCATCAGGAACAGCATTTCGGCGAGAGTTTCGCTTTGAAATGTTCAGGTAACTTTCAGCCCTTAGCAGGTCGCGGCAAACATATGGGAATCCTGCAACGACCTGGACTCCTGGCTGAGCCGTTGTTTCCTGCATTTACCCCAACCCTCGTCGCACAACAAACAATAAATTGAAAGCTTTTGAGGAAGGAGCCCATAATAAGCGCTATACACATGGATGCACTGCGCTTTGGTATCGGTCATTCTCGTTGTGTTTATTGCGTAAGCGCTTTAAAGGTTGCGTCTCGCATGCGTTTATTCTCAGTCGCTCTTGGCTGGGAAACAATCGAAGAGACCATCTTTTACATTGAGATCATTACTTAAATTTCCGCATTAATGTGGACATCACCATGTTGAGGGGCCTATTCGGGTTTGCAGGGTGCAACATTGGGGGAGGGGGGGGGGAGGAGGAAGCAAATCGACACCCGTGGGTACCCAGTCACTTAGCTTCTGACATTTTCTCTTATTTAACTGATCCGGACATTTCCGGCGTGCCTCTGGCATTAATTCCGTCGGCTCAAATGTTTTCAAGTTCTGCACTGCGCTGACATTTCGTAGTTCCCAGCTTCTGAGGACCGTGACGCCTGGACTCCACAGATCAGCAAAGCCCTCGGAGTCATTCGGTGGGGTCACTGTCCACAGCAGGCGGCAGCGCAGGCCGACTACTCTTGCTTGATGAATGCCTTGCCGTCTTGAGGACTGACGTCCGGTTTACTGTAACCAGACCCGGAAAAGTGTCTGCTTCCTGACGCCATGTTGCGTGCTCCCGACGATAGCCATTTTATACGGCGGCCTTCTGCTTTTAAACAACCCTATCAGCTACCGTGCAGACGACTTTCCGATTGCTCAAAAGCGCATGCCGGAGAAAAAGGACGGAGGCATTCCTATCTCAGCAGCCCATAAAGTGCGGTTTGGATTCGTTTTTGGGATTTCCTTCACCGTTTCCATAATTTTCGGTTGTTACGAAAGAGGTCACCGCTTGGACTTAGCACAACGCTAAGCGACTGGGACAATAACCCTTGAAATCTATTTCTTCAGTAATCATGCAGCATTGCCGACCTAACCCCATCCAGCCTCTCACCTCTGACGGGCTCATATGTTCACAGCCATTGCCCACATACCTATGCAAAACTAAGCGATGTTTAATGTTAATTGTGCATCGAAAATCGCAGCCTTCGTATCAAAGTCGGTGGATTACGGGGAAGGGAGAGCGGGGGGGGGGGGGGGGGGCAGACACCGCTCCTCCATTATCGGAAACCTGGAACATTTGACATATTTGACACGGCCACAGCATGCGGAATCAGTCACCGATGGGTCGTGGCTACGATCCCAGTGTACAGCAAAATTTCTGTGAAAGCAAAATGCCCCTTAAGCACCCAAGAGCACCAAGCGTGGCCAATCCTATGTGAATATGCTGCATCATAAATTCCAAGACATCGAGGAGGATGCTAAAACATCATGAATGATGAAAGCTATTTTACTTCAGGGCATTTCAAAGTGTCTGGCAAGGTAACTCAGATGTACGCAATGCCATATACACATACAACGTTATACAACACTAAACA